ATCGCAAAATAATGCGGCGTTTCGCGCTCGTGCTTGCGGCGTTATGCAAATCCGCGAAAATCAAATCGTCACCTCGAGCGGATGCGACGCGCACGAGAGAAAAAAAAAAAAGGGAAAAAAAATACGCGAGTGGGAACGAACGAATGGTCTTCATCTGGCTAACGTTGTCTGGGATGCAAGGAGCATAATAAATTTCGACGAGCAGCGATGCCGTGGTATATCTCTCGCCGGGGCATCTCCCGGTGTATAGATCGCTTTTGCCATTACGGGACATCATGGGGCCGCCGACAAAAATAAACTCGCCTTGACAAAGACAGATCGCCTCGCTCATCCGCGAGTATATACCGTGTATATACGCGAGCGCGAATTTACTCGCGCATATCGAAAGAGTGGGAGAAACTTCGCCTTCTCCCGGAAACCCCGGACGGGTGGAATCGCGATTGTGCACACTATAAGGACACGGGAGAATGCAACATTGGTTGTTCCTTTGGTCTTCCGGTTACATTTCGCTGCGCGATGTCGGCCCGTCCATCGTCAGTCTGTTTGTCCGTCTCTCTGTCCGTCCATTCGTCCGTCTGTCTGTCCGTTGTCTGCCGCAGACAGAGTGCATCGCCGTCTGGCCCCAGAAGGGTCTTTGACCGATTATCACTTGGTCTTTATGGTCTTTGAGGTTCTTTTAAACCACCTCGCCGCTTCTCTGCTCCGTGTCCGTCTGCCTCTCTCCTTTCTCTCATCTCTCTCTCCGCCCTCGCCGCCGTTGTTGGCGCCGACACGACGAACACGGGGACCGAAGGGAAGAAAATCGGCGCGACGAGGAAAGGTGCGAACGAGCGACGAGGACGACCGGTCATCGCAGGCGGTAAACAACACTGAACATCGTACTCTCTCTCTTTCTCTCGCGCGCGCGCGCGCGCGCGAGAGAGAGAGAGTATCAGGGTGTCTAATGGTCAGGGAAATCTGGAAAACCGCACAGAAAAAACAGTATCCTTGAGAGAATGCAAATATGATTCAAGTATATTTGATCCTTATAATAGCGCCAAATGTAAATAATTTTGGATAAAGGATAATTTATCCTTAAAACAAAGTGCAAAATATTCTTGGTTGAAACTGAAATTTACTTATAAATCTTGCAAGGACAAGTGACAAGTGTGCACCGGATATAAGAGGTACTTTCAAGTATATATAATAATTCTAATAGTTCAAATGTGACTAAGTTTGTTTTTATACCATATGCGATTTTGAAAACAAGAATATATCTTAAGGATAAAATATAGTTTACACAAACTTATTTATTATTAAGGCAAATGAAAATTTGTGATTACAAAGAGCATTCTATGCTTATATCAATCAAATAGCGTTCAAGAATAAAAATATACTTGAATCAAGGATTCCTTTTTTTCTGTGCGGGCATTGCCGGGGAATTTTATAAATCTGGAATTGTCAGGGAAAAAAGCCAGGAAATTTGACTATTTATCTGGATTTTTTCACATTATTCTACTTTTGTCTAAATAATAATAAAAATATAAACTTTTCCTCGACTCCCAGCACGCTTTTCTGTGTTGTTCAAAATCGATTCATCTACAGCGTGTTTGTTAAGTTATATTTTCATCGTCGTGTTATTTCGTTTCAATGTGTTTGATAGAGACAGAAGTAAAAAATTTGATATATAATATAAATAAAAAAGGTGATCGTTTAAATAGTTTATAGTGTGACATATTTTAGTTTGATTATCGTACATAATGCGGATTGTATAATTGATTTAAATTTTGGTTTTAACTTCCGAACCTTTTCATTGTTGATAAAAATATCTCGAAGATTTCATGATTTAACATTAAATTATCATATAGAAACATGCAAATTATATATTTGGGAAAAATAATACTAAAGAGTCAGGGAAAAAATGAATTTCTGGTCTTGGAAAATCTGAAAAAATCAGAGAATTTTTTTCATCGAGTCTGCTGGACACCCTGAGTATACCTTTGTGCAATGCGTAAAGCTTAATGCATCGCGGCTGCAATAGCCGCTCATACGCGGTTTTTCAGGGCGACGACGTACGAGAATTTAATTACGTTTATTGTTGTTACGAACGCCGGTTTGCCAATTAGTTCTCTCTTTGGATATTCGTATTATATATATAACGTAGCGAGTGGTGGAGTCTGAATCTGTGGAGAGAAAGAAATGGAAACTGTATTGTATTGGTAAATCTGCAATAAGTATAAAAGATCCATGCGTAATGAATTTAAATTGATAAACGTGAAATTATTCTGAACATCGAAATTAGACGGGTTGACAAGAATTGAAAGGGGAGTGAAAATGATGATGCTATATGAAAAGAGCGAGCGCTCTATGAATGCCTGCAACATAATCGACGAGGCATTTCTAACATTCTCCAGTCTCTTATTGACACGACTTAAATTCTACATATATACTTATTCGCAACACGCAATAGCTCTTGACCGCGCATTTTTATTGTTTTTCTGCATTATAACATTCGACATTCCACATACGTGACGTAATGATCATGTCGAACGTGGACAATGTATACAACAAGGTGTATCTAAATAAATGCGAAAGATTTTAGGAGATGAATCTTTGTCGAAAATTAAGGGGGCTTTCTTTTTATATCCCTCCCTGATTAAAAAAGATGAACGAAAAATATTCACCAAATTTCATTTTTTCAATTTGTCTGAAAGAGAAAAAAAAACTTAATTTTTACCTCCCTCTTTATAGAAAAGTGTAACTCCTCAGGGAGGAATAGGTACATATATAAGAGTATATGTTTATAAGAAACCCTCTTTTGATTTTCGACAAAGAATCATCTCCTAAAAATGTTTGCATTTATTTATATATGTTGCAGAGTATTGTATTTTTCTTTCTCTCCGCAGGTAGAATACTTTGAAATTCCTACGTCGAACGTCACGAATTCATTAAACAACGAATTATTGAGGCCGATCGCCTGGTTAAGCTTGACTCTGACGTCTTTTGTCGCTAAATAAAGGAACGAACCGGAGTGTCGTGACACCGATATTGTAATTTCGCGAGGGAACAAAAAGGGACGTATATGAACGAAAAAACGTAGAGAGAAAGAGGGAGATATCGCTTTGTCTCGTAGATACGAAAACACATGTATCGTCACGTGGTATCTGTGTTCCACGATTACTCCCAACTCCCCCATCCTCATCTCTTCCCATTAATTATTTTCACTGACCCGGAATACGTCGGCACATTCGAAGCGTATGTCAGCGCGAGATATGTCTGTTCTTTCTTTCTTCGCTGCCGCGAAACAGATCGACGATCGACAGATTTAATTCGATCAATGCCAGTCGAGCTCCGTTTCGAATTTTTTATTTGAAAAAAAAGTAGCGTTTAAAAATACGTACCACGATACACACGTCAATTAAGAGACCGATATGAAAGCTTCTTAGCTCGCGCATATTAAATAATCTTCTAATATACTATCTTTAATTCTATTTTTTTTTATTTTCCAATCAAACCTTTTATTATACAACTTTTTTTTATTTTACGCGAAGAATAGTAAAAAATGTTATCTTACTTAAATCGGTCGAGTTTTAACATTTAATTTGCAACAGAATTAAAGTGCGAAATAATATAATATATGAAAGTCATTGCCTTTCGGACAAATATATGATAATAGGAATATTACATCCTTCTTTCAAGAGATATTAAATTATCAATCTACAACATAATCGACTAGCGCGACTGGACGATACAAATGTCAAATCGAATTTCCAAGGCGATGAGGGAGTCTCGCAACCCTCGCGAGGGATACCAGGATGTGCGATGGAACATGTATCACATGTATTCTAGACCGCGAGAAGGTCTGAGGAATTGTATAAAAATATATATTATTCTACTTAAATTAATCGATCGAATTTTCACATTTAATTTGCAACGGAATTAAAGCGCGAAATGATATGATATTTAAAAGCATTGTCTTTACATAATATAACACATGTTAATATCGTCGTTCTTTCAAGAGATAATAAATTATCAATCTCCAGGGTTGGGTAAGTTAATGATTATTTTAAACTAAGTTAAGTTTTATAGTTATAACTGCTTATAAAATTAATTTATTTAAGTTAAAAGTTGCATGAAGAAGAAATTAACTCGGTTAAAGTTAAGATGAAAATAACTGAAGTTTAAATCGAAAGTTAATTTTTAAAAACATTTATATTAAATTAGAATTTTGTTAACTCTTTTAAAATTTATAACAAGAAAGAAATTTTGATTTTTGCATAGAAATATATTTTTTCGTAATTACAACTGATGACAAATAAACATAAAAATCAATAATACTTTATTTAAAAAACAATACTATTACAACTGATAAAAAGCCAATAATGATAGTATTCACAGTTTAAGGTGAAAAATAACTATAGCTGAAGTTAAAAATGAATACATCAATAATACTTTATTTAAAAAACAATACTATTACAACTGATAAAAAGCCTATACCTAAAATAAAAAGCCTATATACCTGAGATTAAAAACTACATTTTAAATCAACCAGTCATTACCCAACCTGCGTGAATCTCCAAAACATATATGATCGACTAGCGCGACCGGACAATGCAAATGTCAAATCGAATTTCCAAGGAGTCTGCCAGAGGTGTCGCGAACTTAGCGTACGAGACTAGAACACGTATAATATAATACCGTAGTACCACGTAATCTGGACCGCGCGAGCGCGAGAAGAGATCAGGGCAGAGCAGAATATGCGCGAGGAGGGCCGATGCATACCCGTCGGGACGGAAAAGGGCGGAAAGCGACGAGCGCCGCCGAGATGAGACGAGACGGGCCGACGAGGGTCGCGCACCGCGGCGCTGAACGCAGTGCCATCCGATAGGCAGCACCGCTTGTTCCGCGGATCTTCGGCTCGCTCCGAGCTCCTCTCTCTGCGCTCTCGTTGCAGCTCCGCCACGCTCTCTCGCATCCGACTCTCTTCTCTCTCTCTCGTTTTCTCTCTCTCTCTCACACACTCACGCACTCTCTTCCTCTCCCTCACCCTCTCCCCCTTCCTTCCGTTCTCTCTGTGTTGTGTCATCTCGAAGCGTGGCGTGGCAGCCGCGACGACGAAGGAAAAGCCAGTACCTGGTCGACTCGCGGGTGGAAAGCGCGGGCGTCGTGTCTCTCTCTCTCTCACTCGCGCGCGCGCGTGCATCCGGCCGCGTGTGTCGTCGTCCGCGCTCTCGCGTAGAAGACCTCTCCCGTACGCGTGTGTGAGAGCGCCCGGCGCGCCGCTGTATTGTAATATCGCCGCCGAAGAGAGGAGGCCTCCCTTCTCCCGAGCTGGATGCGCGGCAGCCTGTATGGTGCGTGTGTGCGGTCTAATATCTTCCACCCTGTGTCTGCGTGTGTGTATATATCTCTGCATCTATTTATTTATCCGCGACCGATGTCTGTCGCGCACGCTCCGTTCTTTCTCCTTCTCTCTCTCTCTAGCGTTTTATCCGTCTCCGTACGTTGATCTCGAGACGGTAGAGACGTCTTCTAACGTGGCGGAGATATCGGAGTCGCGACGCTTTTCAGGCGCAAAGGTGCTCTCATGGTTCTCAGAACGCGACGGAGACGCAGCATGGCCGCCTAAGCACGAAACGAATCGGAGTTCCTTGCCGGTGTCCACGCTCGCCGTCTGCCTCTTTCTCTCTCCGCATATTCGCGGACTATATACTTTTCTCTTTTTCTCTCTCTCATTCTCCGTCTCTTCTCGCGCCGCCGCAAAGCTTTCGCTCTCTCTCGTGCTTCGTCTCGCTTGTTTTTATATATTGCATCTTTGTTGCGCAAATGCACTTTTCCTTTCGCTTCAGCTCCCTCTGGCTCTTTTCTTTTCTCTCCCTTCTCTCTGTTTTGCATCTTCTCTCCCAGTGGTAGCGTCTCTCTCTTTCTCTCTTGCTCCCTCTTCTCATATTGCTTCGCCGGAGCACAAATAAAGTCTCTCGCTCCTTCCCTTCCCCCAGGGTTTTTCTTCCCCTCTTCCTCTCCCCCGGGTTTCTACATTAGTCTCTCGTTCGTGTCCCCTGATCGTGTGTTTCATTCGAAAATAGAATGTCAGCGCGCGTGCCACGCACGCATTTTTCTCGTGAAAACAGCGAATTCCCGCGAGTGCTCGTCCGAGCACGCGCTCGATCGAGCGAACGACCGGCTCTTGTATATCCCGTGCATTAACTCTTTCCAACATATATGTATATATATATATATATACCGAGATGGTCGCGTATTCATCTCTGGAAATCGCGAGTTTTCACGTACGCTGATGATAACGCGAGTCGCGACCAATTTCGTCGGAATTCGACCCCTGCTCGAGAAACTTTCGGAGAAACTGTAAATTTACTTTTCAAGATTTTCTGCTGCACGATATCATTGTTATTGTTGAATTAAATGTTTTCACGTTTTCAAAAATCTGCTTGGAAAACGATTTGTAAATTTCTCCTCTTGGAAAATCAAATTTATTACACGGGGATGTAATTAAATGACAAATCGTCGAAGATAATTAAAAGAGATTCTCGCAGTTTTGCTTTTGATGATCAATTTAAATCACACAATTCTATGTAAAACGAACGAGAACGTCGACTAATTTATTCATGATTATGTTTCGCGTTAGATTTACTAGACATTTCCATCGATTAGCATTAATCGTTAAATCGTTAGCGATATATACAAATTGTTATTTTTGAAATAAACATCTGGAATTATTCATGCACACATTTTTGATCGTATTTTACAAAGTGCATTAAAAATTCACCTTTCTCTTCGCGATCAACAAAATAAAATTCCTCGAAAATCACGTCGAGGGTATCCGGCCGATCGATACCCCGTAGTAACCCAAATAATCAGACTTTAATACACCAAGTATATCGCGTACTCCGTTCTAAATTAAGTTACTTTAATTATTCACGCACCGTGATAAAATACGTCACGTAACACAAAGGTGAACGTCTGTCGAGGAGAAGAGGAGCGCGTGGCAGACGCGCGCGACGATATTTTGGCGGGAGAGTCGTAAAAATAGTGCCTCCGCGGTTTCCTTCCTTCGGCTACGGGACTATAATTAGCAGGTATTCCGCGTTTTACGTACGGCGGATACATAGACGCGAGCGAGCGAGCGCAAGCGCGATCTCTCGCGTTTTAGGGATGAGATCAATCGGCCGCGCGTGCATTCTCCAATCGTTATCAACGAGCGCGTACACGAATCTCGCATTAGACCCCGAGTCTAATGTCCCCTGGTCTTTTTCGAGATCTCTACCATGCCGATGACCCTCCACCACTTGGAAATTCGGTATTCGTGCGATACAGGCTGGCCCCACGTGATCTCCTCGTTGTAAAATCTTTGGAATTCGTTGCTCGAGATAATTAATGGCGACGATTAAAAATAGATTCTCTTCAACAATATGAGTGGTATCATTAATGTTGTTTATTTTTTATTTTAACTAAAATGCCATGATAATAATGTAGTTGAGATTTGTTTTTTATTGCCCTCTCGGAAAGCAAAATAAATTCTTGCTGTATAGGCAAATAAGATACATTTTTTAAATTATATGTATAAATTGAAGGGATGGAAAGGCATTCTATATATAATTATATAAAAAATCATACTATTATTACACTTTCTTACTTACTCTTTTATGTATATAAATTTGTCACTCGTAAAAGAACAAGCGTCTCTTCGCATTATAACAGGTTTTATTCTCGGAAAATGTTTTTCAATAATAAAATGATCGGTCGTATGTTGAGCTTTTAATTCAGGTAATCGTTTCGACCGAATCTTTATAGTCGCACCCGTGTCGCAGCGACGATGACGATAATCGCGACGACATCAACGATGACGACTATACGACCCGGTCGACGGCGGCGTCGTCGTCGTCGTCGAGACACAGCCGATCGGGCACAACAATGTTCGCGCGGCGCGTGCTCATAAAAATAGCATTTTCGCGGTTTCTCCCTCCTTACGGCTATACTTAGCCCCGGGCACCGGTGTCCCTCGGCGTAGTAAACAAATTTCAGGAGGGTCGACCCTCGTGTAACGAGAAGCGCCGCCCGTATATTCCTCACTCGCTCGCCCATCTATTTTTTCAGCGCGTGTCTCAAATATTTTTAGAGGTAGCGCACACCGTGTGTGTAAAAAAATTTTTTTTCGCCACGTCTTCGTTTAAGAAGATGTTCAATAAATATAATTATATTATTAACATACAATAAGTATATTAGGCACAAGGTCTCACATTTTCCATTCCTTCTTTTAATGCGAGGAATGTGTTGTAAAAAGTCGAATTAATAATAACGAGCAACTAAAAAAAAAAAAAAACAGTTTATTTTCGTGCAAATAATATTTCAAGAGAAATGTATTATAAAACATTTTTTTTATTTTAAATTTTAGAATTGTGAGGTAATAGAATTGTGAGAAGGCAAATAATTAAAAATAAGAATTTTTAAAGAATTATAAAATTTAAGATTGAAATAAAAAAAAATGAAAATTTACGATAACGAGACTTTTGATTTGCTGATTTATTAATTAACCTCAGACGAGAGGTTCACTTTAATAATTTGGAGCTTAACAGGGCTTTATAGGCTCGCGATCTCCTCTACTCTCATTTCCCTTTATATTTCCTCCGTTACACTTTTAGATCAGTCACTCCCATCTAGACGCCCGTATTTCTGTGTTTCTTCGCTCTATGCAGATGGCTTGCCGTGTCACCTTTATTATGTACGGGGATTAGTTTTATATTTCAGCTATTTTGCTATTATAGCCAGAAGAAACAATGCATAAGCATTTGAAATTTAGAGCACGCGAAAGCGCGATCGATTCTTTTTACGTCGTAACGCGCGGTTCCAAAATCGACGTGCTGATTAATGAATGGAATATCGAAAATGTATAACCCATTTGCCGAGAACCAATTGGAGCTCGGCACGCTATATTCATGTAATATAACGATACTTTAACGTATAATACATGTATTATAAAACAGCATCGTAGGGGATACACTTGATGCGTCAGAAATGAAAAATCGCAGTTTTATATATATAATACATTATATATATATATAAAACTATTTCAAGTCTAGAACATATATATTGTATGCAAACATAGTCTGTAGACACTCTCTGTAATCACTGTCCACTATCTACAGATTGTATGTGGATAGTCAACATAGTTTCCGTTCACGTTTATTCAGTGTGTCCAATAAAATTTGAAATTGATTCATTTTTTCATTGCTGGTCTTCCGTGACACTTTCAATTTATAACACTTCTAAATCTATAGACTTTCATTTAATATTTCTATTTTGAGCATTGGATATTATTCGCGTAGAGTCCACAAATACGCAAATTCCAAGTATATTATCCGGGCAAAATATAGATATATTAGGCGTAATGTAATAAATAATATATATAGATTTAATAAGATTTATGAATATCTGAGATTTATAATATAAGAATTGTTAACGATACTCTCGACAATATATGTATATAATAGGTTGTTTAAACTTTTGTCGCATAATTCCCTACTGAGTCTTATGGAAAATGTTTTGATATTCACATTGAAACACATACATTTGTACTACACATACTATTACATTTGTACTTCTGCTCGTTATTGGACTATTTAACTCTTCTACTCCCGGCGGGATAATTGCGTCCTGTGAATAATTGGCGGTAAATGGTATACATGAGCTTGATCACATCTCGCGTTAACCAACCGACTGTTAAGTGAACCGAAATTTTCGTATAAGCTTGTCATAAATTCTTATCTTCATTTTGCGCGACACGTTTATCACATTATAATAATTAGACACACGTATATCTCAAATGTAAATTCTATCAAAGTCCATTTATGATTAAAAGAGAAATCTAGTTTCATCTTAATTATTAATTTCGATCAAAATTAATTTAGAGGAAAAAGCAAAAAGAATATAAAGTATAGACAAATATTTGTAAGCAAAATTAAATCAGCAAAAAGATGTTATTTAAAAGAAAATAAAAGAACTTATTTTCTACTTTTTATATAGTACTTTTTACAGTCCGAGAAATGAGTGCGATGAAAAAATGTCGAAATTCCCGCGAAAATGTAAAATATCGGTCGGACTAACTAAGAAACTACATAAAGAGAAAAGCATCTAAATTCCACCGTGGAATTGTTCGATTGTTTCAGATCGCACTGTAGTCTCGTTCGCGCTATCCTCAAAGTAGATAGCTCTAGGAATACCACGAGGAATAAGTAGCGCGGAGGAAGAAGCGGAAACGGAGAATGCCGAGCGACTGGCAAGGTAGACGCGCCGAGCATCGCCGAGACGCGGCTCGCGGCTCTGTTTCGCGAGGCGCGCGATGATGGCGGAATGCGCGCGGACAGAGCGTACAGTATCGTCCGGCCCGTCGATCGAGCACACGGTGGAGTCGATCGCCCATCGCGGCGGCAGGATCGAGCGCAAAAGGGGCAGCAGCAGCAGCAGCACGTGGCTGGTACGCGTGACGGAGTAATAGATGCCAAAACGGCAGTACGCCGTTACGAGGAGCCGAGGTGGACCGATCGTCGAATGCGGGCAAGTGCTCGTGGAAAAGCGCTGTTTGCATGTAGATCGCGAGGAGGTGGAGAAGAAGAAGAAGAAGAAGAGGAAGAAGAAGAAGAAGACGGTGAGGAAGGAAGTAGTAGAGGGAGTAGGAGAGAAGAAGAGAGAGATCGACGACGCGGACAACTAGACTGAACGGCCGCCTCGCGGATTTTCATCGCACGGCAGGGGGTAGCGGGTGCCACCACGGGGGCGGGGGTGGGCTTGCCCCTGCTTCTTCTCGTTGTTGCTCTCCTCGACGATCTCACGCGCGCGACGACGGCCGCGCCGGTGATAACCCAGCCGCTGGACAGCCTCCATCCAGCCGACGTCGCTGCATCTGTTCGTCCGTTCGCGCCGCGTCTCTTTCGAAGAACGATACGGAAGTGCGCGTCCAGCCTTAACGAAATCGGTTCTGAAGATCGCGCGAGTCGGAGAACTCTGGATCATCATCTTGCTACGTTGACGACGCGTCTTTCGTCTTCGTCCGCGCCGCCGTTGTTGTTGACGTCGTCTCTGTCATTAACATCGCCACCGCTGTCGTCGTCGTCGTCCTCATCATCATTATCATCATCGTCATCATCGTCATCATCGTCATCGTCATCGTCATTATCGAGAGCGCTGTTGAATATTGTCGTCGTCCAGCATCAAGATCTCTCCGCTCTCAAGATCACCCCGGATCGTAACAACGAGGATGAAGAGATCGCAGCGCGACGAGGAAGAGCTAAACGAGTACCAATCAGCAAGAGATCGAAGCTAAAAGATCAAACCTCTCCGAACATCATCAACCCCTGGCCGGAGGCATGGCGACGCATTGACGAACACTCTCTACCATCTCGCAAGCTGGAATCCGCGCCGACCATCGACGATGGCTTTCGCCCTGCAGTCCGAGCTTTCACTCCGCTGTTAGAGCCCGTCTTCAAGTTCGGAGAATCGATATTGCGCCCGGAGAATTCCCTGCGGGATATCCTACTTCACGAGAGCGCCTCCAAGACAACGGCGACGACGACAACGGCGGTGGCGACGAGAACGAGCACGCGAACCGAGGAAGATGACGTCGGGGAAGTGAACGAGGACGGAGTGAAGGATGGTAATAATAAGAGCGGAAGGGGGTTGGTGCACGTGGGGAACAAGGATAATGGTGCGGTCGTAGTTGGTAGTGATAGTGTTATCGAGTGGACAACGACGACTGTCGCCGAGCCGATGTCATCGTCGCGGTCGGCGTTCTCCGGAGACGATGTGCAGGTGGCCGAGCGTGTAAGAGTGCGCGCGAATTCCGAACGAAATTCACCGAGGAACGAAGAGAGCGACGAGGAGCAGCTCAAGGTTACCGTCGCGCACGACGTCGAAGATTCGTTCGTATCCTCGACGACGACCACGACGACGACGACGACGACGACGACGCAGCGTCCACCACTGACCCAAGACACCTCTATGGAAGCACGTGAGTACTCGAAGCATTTTTTAACCGAATAAATCAGGGTGTCTGGAAATCTAGAAATTATCTGCATTTTTTCACAATATTCTACATTTCTTTCAATAATTTGACAGTTCTTATTAAATAAATATAATAATAAATAAATAGTTTATAGAGATATTTTTGTTTCGATTATCGTACATAATGCAGATTTTATAATTGATTAAATTTTTTTTTTTAATTTCCGAACCTTTTCATGGTTGACAAAAATATCTCAAGGATTTCATGATTTAATTGATTTATCATATAGATATATACAAATTATATATTTGACATTTCTTATTAAATAAATATAATAATAAATAAATAGTTTATAGTGATATTTTTGTTTCGATTATCGTACATAATGCAGATTTTATAATTGATTTAAATTTTTTTTTTTTTTTTTTTTTTTTAAATTTCCGAATCTTGACAAAAATACCTCAAGGATTTCATGATGTAATTGATTTATCATATAGATATATGCAAATTATATATTTGGAAATAATATACTAAAAAGTCAGGGAATTTTCTCATCGAGTCTGCTGGACACCCTGTCAATGTCTCCTTTATTAATGCGTATGTGTGTACTAAAAAAAAAAAAAAAATTCTTTAATTCTCTTCACATCATTCTCATCTACTATAATCTGCAAAATCTTATATTTATCTACAAATTTATCCCATTATGAATTTGTTGTGCGTTTAACTATTTTAAATCTAAACCCGTGTTATAATTCTTAGAGGAGACTATACGAGTTTTTGACCCTCGTATCTACCCTCGTTAAAAGAGGATCTTCTATATCGAGGGATTAAAGGGTTATGGCCTTTTTTCGAAGCGATATAAAAGAGGGCGAGAAATTTAACCGAGCGATCGACTCTGGGCGATTTCCATCGGTTCTGTGTCGCGTTCGTATTACGACGTATATCTCTGGGATTCGAGGCCGGTACAGAGCGTTAAGGGTAGCCGGCAGCCGGTAGGTTGTACCGTAGAGCAGAACGAAGGGTGGCCCGCGGGCGAAGAGCGAAAGGGCTTCGTCGCTATGGAAACCCTGGCACACGGCTCTCCGACTACTGTGGGGTGCCTCAAGTTTTTTATGGCCCCGAACGATCGGAGGGTCGAGGCTCTAAAAATCGTTACACAGACCTAGATACTCGTCCTCTCGTCTCCCCTTCTTTTTCTCTCCCTTGCTGACGCCCTGCTGCTGTCGGGCTGCTCCTGTAACATTCGCCACCCTTCCGGTCACGGACCTTACGCAACAACGTTTTTGCGCTGCGTTATTTCGCTAATTATTGTCGGGCAATCTTTATATCAAAGACGCGTGGAAACCGATCGAAGGATTCTACCTTGAAGACTTGTGTCTTATTGTTGGTTTTGTTTCCGCCACGTTGTGAAGTATCTAAATATTCTGTTTAGTTAGGGTGAATATTTCTTGTAATATAGAAACGTCGGATTTTAAAGCTTGAATAATCGAATGACATATTCACATAATCACGCGGGTTATTTTAATTCTGTAAACATCTTAGAGTTTTATAGCGATCAATTTTGCAAAGAAATTAAAATTTTGTTTCCTATAATAGAACGTTTTCTAATTATAATATACTCGTTTCGACAGTAAATTCGTAAAATTTCGAAATTAGCAAAAAATATTTTATAATTCTTATTTTATCCAATTAGCACGCTTATATTCACGAAATATCAATATTACATCCATGTTTTATTGAATATTTGCCATAAAAAAAAATCTTATAACGTTTTTACACTTGAAGTTTTTAATTTTTTAAAGACGTGAGACCTCTTACAATATTATTATATACGCGAAAAATAGGAGGGTAAAAATAAAAGAGACAAAGAAACTAATTGTATTTAAACTGAAAAATAGGATGAGAGAGAACTAAGCTTTTTCGAGACGATTAAAATCGGTACGGGGATTCCGCTGGTCGTAATCGGCATTTTTACGCATTCACGTTTTTTCTCGCGTAAAGCTCCAACCCGGCTCGGTTTGGTTGCACGGTGAAATTTACTTTCTCGCTCCCCGGAAGTCACGTTATTCCTTCCGGACGGAGGCGAGTCCCGTCTGCCAACATTATAGACACGGTGCTTATGGCGCGCTCTCCCTACAACGGGAGAGCGAGTCAATACTTTACAGTTCGAAGTGAACGCTCGCTCGTATTTCGCCTATCGCCTCCACGTCGTGCACCCCTTCGAGCCGTCGTGGAGGGTGCCAAGAGCACCGGGGGCTTTACATCGTTTCTCTATGCCCTTTCTGTGCCCATCGTCGTGCACAAATACGACGAACGTATCGCGAACTCTGTCGGTCTGCAAACGTTCTTTGCGGATACGAAGAATAGAGCGATTTAGAAAAAAATTCACTGACGTTTGGCGAATATAATAAAAGATATCCAAAAAATAATTAAATTTTTCACATTTTTTTTGATTAACTAAAAGTTAATAATTATTGTTATATGAAATGTAATCAAAAAAATTATTAACTTTTAGTTAATAATTATTAAAGAATTTTTTTTTCTGAAATGTAAATGCGAAAGTCGCATCACCGTTTCTCTGATTCTTATCGCATGAAAGATTCAGCCGTAGCGCATTCTCGGAGTGAGTGGCGGAAAGTTAAGTATTCGGATGTATATTGACAGCTTCGCCAATGCGCGCGGCAATTATACGGGGCGATAGTTTTGAGAGAATACAGAGTCGCGAACGACCGACAGACTAAACAAAAATAACCTCTTGTGGGTGCATGTTTCGCCCGCATGCACGTGCAAAGGATGTCTGGTTGCGACACACCAGAGGAGTGGAGGAAGTATATGGCATGCCATAAAACACAACTGCGGGGAGAACTAACGGGGCTTATCGGGTTATATTGATATTTACCTTCGATAACGCGAATTATTAATACTATTTCCGAACGTATAGTTAAAGTATCGAAGAACTGTCAAATATATGTGCCGGAAATTTTTCAGATATTGTTCGAAGGGGATATTTTTCGCACTGTCGATTAATATCGATGGCGCATGTAAGGCGATGTACCGATATGTTTAAAATGAGACTGTCGATTGCTAAATTTGACGTAGACTATATATCAGCTTTTTCTCAAGCGAATTATTTCGTCGTCTGATAATTTGTATACATAATTAGCACATCTATCGCTAAATAAAATCTCTTAGCACACAGTATATAATATTTAGTAACGTGAATAATTTAATTAAGCGTTCTCATACACACTTATACAAGAAATTAAAAAATTAAATTATGATTTGATGACATAATTTGTCTCTGGTCTCTAATCTTATGATCTCTGTTTCCGCACATTTTCACGAAATGAGACGTTAGCTGCACACACACAATATTGAACAGTCTAATTGTATTGAAAATCTAATTAACGGATATCATTATTCTTTTGACAAATCTGTAAATCTGAATAGATTGCCATTAATTAACGAAGTTAAAGTTTGTATTGTATTTTCATAAACATATTCATTAAAATTAAAGATTACAGATTGGGGACGAGAAAAAATGATTAAAAATCTAATATATCTACTAACAATAAATACTATAGATTTGAAATAAATATTTTGTCCGATTGTTTCGAATATCATATAATCCCTTGTTTTCTTGGTAATATATATCAATAACGAATTTTACAAATGCTTTATTCAATCACAAAGAATTGTAAACGTCTCTCAGTATTTTGAAAGACATTGCATTCTCCACAAAGCATAAGACGATCCCTCGTTCGATCCCTAAAATTCATCTGAATGAGATTCGCGCGCGTACTTTTGTATCTCTCGCCAAAATCCCTCTCTCGGATCACCGGTTCACACACGCGAGTATGCGATCAGCGTCGTATTCGTTTTGCCATGCTTGAGTTCGTGTTTACAGGAACCGCAGGATCCTCGCGGTCGGAGTTATTTTTAACTATTCCAACCGTGCGCGCAGCCACCTTCCCCATTTCTCCCTTGTGCTCCTTTTTTTCTTTCGTATCTTTTCGTGCACAATCTACCTTTCGCTCACAATAACGAACAGAAATCGGAGCATCGCTCCGTTCGACCGAAAGGATCACAAGAAGAGAGGTAGCTTCTTCGAGAACTGGTCGGCTTCTTTTTTTTTTTCTCTTTCTCTTCCGTTGTTTCACCTGTCCATTCTTTTATTTTTCGCCAGGTCGATGGATTTTAGACGTTGCTCTGTACTTATTTCTCGCGTGGCTTTTGCTTCAATATCTCTTTGATATGAATCAAACTTTTGTTAATAAAATGTGAAAATATTTTCCCACGCAGCAGAATTTAACTTGTCTTATGCTCAATTTAATTCGTCACGAGCCGTCACAATCAGCCTATAAAGATTAATGTATAATAAAAGAGAAAGAGAGAAAGTGTATGTTGATACAAGACCGTGTGTCACATAGTTTGCATATATCGTGTGTTTTTGGTTGTGTCTGACTACGTACACGGATCGTGACTTTGCGTAGAAATCAGCTGATCAGTCTTTTCGCGCATCGGTCGAACGTGTACTTTTTTTTGCTTTTTCCGTTCCTATTTTTTTTATACCCTATTATGTCTTGTCGCACGTGCGAATTATGCAGCGCGACTGCAATACCGAATGGCTACAACGTCGTTGAAGAACGATGATCGAACACATCGCGTAAACTTAACTTTCGATTCACGTACAAGAGTGTCAGCGAGAGAACAAAGCTCACAAAATTCGTATTCCTCGTTAAAATTTGATGTGGATATTTCTTTTGTGAAATCTCCAATCCCCCAAAGCACATAAATTAACTATGATATATCATGATTTATATAGCGAGAGAGCTCAATTCGCCGCATAAAATTTTAATTCTCGATCGATATTATATCTCTAATAATATAAAAATCGTTACTACGGTTGTTCATTATATTTTGATCTTCAGCACATCGAATTAATATAATTACGAGAATATCGATATGTTGCTTAAAATGATATATTGTCTACCACAGGTAAGAGA